GTGAAGCTGACTGCTTCTTGTAGCTTTGATAAAGGATAAAATACAAATCCCTCACTATGTGGAACCCTTATTTAAACAACCAAGAGGGAAAAAATGAGGGTTTTTTTCTCATAACTTGCAAAGTGAAAGTATTTGGTTAGAGGAGCTCAGGTAGCCAGAAGGACCCAAACATGGCATCATGACTGAAATATTTCTGATATAATATTTATTATCTATCAAACTGTGAATAACTGGGCATTGCAAACTCTCAGAAGAGACTTGATTGGAGCCATAAATTGGTTTATTTCCATGTTACATGCCCAGGGTTTTCCATGTGTGTGTCTGCAATTGCAATCAAAATCTTGTTACAACTCAAAATTTTGGTACAAGCCAAATGGTACCATTTTTATGTATAGAGCTTAACACTTAATTTTTTCCCCATTAATATTTAGAGTGCCTGAACAAAATCAATCACCTTTCTTTTGTGGTTCAACTGTGATTTTTCATATAAGATTTTTGTGGAGTTAAATCCGACAGAACCCCATTGGACACTAAAATTTGGATCTCTTTTGCACAAATACATGAACTTCTGATATCTAGGACACATATTCCCAACCATATATGAGAGCTACAGAAACCAGAGTGAACTGGAAGAAAAAAGTATTTAAATAAAAGGTTGAATAGTCTGGGCGTGTCTGAACCTTATTTATGGAGAAGAGGCAGGAAAAATGTGAAGGATTACACTAATATATCTCAAGTTCCATGACTGTAAAATGACAAATACCACTCACTTTTAACCCAGGAATTCATGTCACCCCTTCCCATTGAAAACCAGTTGTTTCTTCCACAGTGTTTCTTCTTCCTTTCTGCTGCTTTCATTTGAATAATCTTGTTCACCTGCAGCCCTTTCCTCTTCCTGTTTTAATCTCCTCCAGCCAGGGAATTATCCCTCTCTACACCTCTGGTGATTTAATCACCCTGAAGTTCAACAACAAGATTAGTGTTTGCATATTTGATGGGGTTTATGCTTTACTAGTGAGAAATTTTGGTCAAAATGCTGGGTTTTTATCACACTTCAGTCTGTTATATAGGAAAATCTTCAATTTCAGTGGCAATGCATTGTAAACTCTTCTCATACCTCAAGTATACCCAGCAAAAATTACTAAATTGCTGTCATTGGTGAGTTATGAAGACATCACATTGTTGAAAACAGTTTCATAATTTACAAGTTTTCATTTTAGAAACTCCTTAAGCTTCTCTCTACATTTTATACCATACAGAAAACATTTACCCTAACTAATTTCTTGGATTTTTAATTCTAAAATTTCCTACTTTATATTTTCCCACAGGCAATCAGGAACCTGTAGATTTAGTGACATCTCCAAGCTGTCTGAACTGAATTGAAATTACACCTGTGTTTCTTACAGTGCTTTGGGTTCCCTTCTCTGCTTTGTCTGGTTTTGTGCCACTTCAATTTTAGTAAGTTCTTTTTTCCAGCCTGCTAAGAAAGAAAAAAACTGCTGTCTTTATGACTCCAGAACCTGGGGTACTCCATTGGTGATCCCATCTTTACCAAATTCTTCAAATGCTGAATAATGCAAAGCTTAAGTATTAACATGGTCATGTTTGGAAACCTCTTTTGCCACTGGAACTCCTTCAGTGGCTCTGTAGAGGAATTGTGGTGGGATTCCTTGGGATCAGCTCTGCCTGACTGATTCCTCAAACTGCTCCACAGCAGGGCAGGGAGCTACTCCTGAGCTCAATGGAGGGGCCCAGGAACCTCCCAAGTGTGGTTTGCTTTGTGTCAAATAGCTCCAAACAAGGAAATTTGGTCTGAAACACTAAACCTCCACATGAGCAGTGTTTAATGAACCCCTCAGAGGTATTGTTGGACTCTGATGTCCAGAGAAGCTGTGGCTGCCCCAGCCCTGGAAGTTTTCAGGACAGGCTGGATGGGGCTTGGAGCAACCTGGAATAGTGGAAGGTGTCCTTGGCCATGGCAGGGTGTGGTGTGATATCTTTCAAGGTTTAAGGATGTGCTGGAGAGAAGCAGATTCATAGCTGCTAATAATTTCAAGCCCTTGTAACACGTTTTGGGAAGGACACTGGACAGCAACAGTGATCCAGGTAGAAAACTGGTGAAACAGTGCAAACAGCACTCCATTCCCATTCCCATTATCTTGGGGAATATCCACAAATGGCTTTCTGAGACCTTTTCAGTGTCTGGGCCTACAGTGGGTTCATCACATTCAGGGGCCAGGACACCAGCAAGGGTTGGACAACTGAATCACAGAATCACTAGGGGTGGAAAACACCTCTAAGATCACTAAGTCCAGCCATTCACCCAGAAACAGCACCGTGTTCACCATTAATCCATGTCTTCAAGTCTACATGTTTTTGAACACTTCCAGGGATGGTGACTCCACTATTTCCCTAGGCAGGCTGTTCCAGTGCTTTACAACCCTTTCCATAAAGATATTTTTCCTGATATTCAATCTAAACCTCCTCTGGTGCACCTTGAGCCCATTTCTTCTTGTCCTGTTATTTAATACAAAGTAGCTGGATGTGAATGCTCTGGGTCCATGGGACCATGATGCTGGTCCTAACTGGGCTGGAGGTGAAGAGCCTGTGCTGGTGTGTGAGCTCTGTGAACATTAGTGAATAGAAACCCTTGAACAGAAATCGTTCTGCACCTGCAATAACCTATCCTGACTCACAAACTTTAAATGAGCTGTTCTAGTAACTGTTTGCACCATGACAAAAATACAAGCCTTTGTTTAAACAGTGGTGAGTTTGATAGTTAAGGAGAAGGGAAATTAAAACCAAGTGTGGAAGGACTAAATAGGTGTGTAGAGAAGCTAAAAGTTCTAAGCAGTGCATAAATCTTTTCTAGCAGGCTCATGGAGGCACTGCTGGGAAGCAGAGTCAGAGTCAATGTGTTTATGGTAAACTTTATCCTGACCATCTGCCACCACTAATCAGATACAATTGGCACTTTTAGTTTGAAGGGAAACATACTCAAGACCTGCAATCCCTCCTGGATAGCAAGGATATAAAAGTTTATCTGCACACAACACTTTATTTGAATTTACCTTGGAGGAAAAGAAGATTAAGGATGAAGCATATACTCTGACAAACCAGTGAATTGGTTTGGGGTGATAACTGTGGAAACAAACTCCGGGGTAAAAATAAACCAGTGAAATAAATTCAGATTATGTTGAATAAGCAGGTCCTTTCCTAATTGAAATATTGTGACAATTGTTGGAACGAGTCCAGAGGAGGCACCAATATGATCAAAGGAATGGAGCAGCTCTGCTGGGAGGAAAGACTGGCAGAATTTGGATTGCTCAGCCTGGATAAGTTTTGTGTTGACCTCATTGTGACCTTCCAGTGCCTGAAGGAGCCAGCAGGAGATGAAAGAGAGACTGTTTCTCTCATGAAGGGTTTCATGAGACTCACGACTCTCATGAGTTTATCCAGTGGCGAGAGACTGTTTACAAGGGATGGGATGACAGGATAATGGCAAGTGGTTTTCTACTATCAGAGGATAGGGTTGGATGGGATATTGGGAAGGAATCCTTCCCTGTGAGGGTGGGGAGGTCCTGGCACAGGGTGCCCAGAGAAGCTGTGGCTGCCCCTGGATCCCTGGCAGTGTCTAAAGCCAGGCTGGATGGGGCTTGGAGCAACCTGGGTAGTGGAAATGTCCCTGTCCATGGCACAGGGTGAATTAGGAAGAACTCTGAGGTCACTTCAAACTAAATCATTCCATGACTCTATGACTGCTCAGAGGGCAGGTAAACCAGATTTCATCTCTCTCTCCTGGCACTGGTTCAAGGTCTCACCTCCAAGTCAGACATTCTCTACTGCAACTCAATATCCAGCAGCCTGGTAGTGCCTCACCATTTTCCTGCTTCTGTTTTGGGGGATTAGGCTCCAAAATACAAAAGTGGCAAGTGATGAGCTTGTCTGATTCCATATTTAACACTTTATATATAAAGTGTTTATATATATCCAGCTTATGTAACATTTCCTACTCACATATTTAAAGACTTCATTCAACTTTTAGCATAAGTATTTCTGTCCCTACATTTTATTTAATTTTTTACCTATAATGCAGCTGTATCCATTTACAAAGATGTGATATTTCAGTCACACAGGTGACAGATCTGGCATTCAGATTCCTTAATTACTTTTGTTGCCTTCTCCCTAGAGTTGTAGGTCTTAAACTGATATCAATATCAATGATAATATCATTGATAATTTTTGATGGGACGTTTGCCTGCTTGTTGGAGGGTGGAGGATTTTGAGTTTTGGGGTATTTTGTGGGGTTTTTTGTCTGTGTTTGTTTATTCATTTGGTTGGTTTGGATTTTGTTCTTGTTGCTGGGGTTTCTTTCTTTAAAAAAGGAAAAATCTTAAAGATCACAATATGCACAAATGTTTTAGTAAAAATGGCTTGACTGGAGCTGCAACTTCCTTCAGGGAAAATTCATGTCCTGTGTAATCCTAGTGAGATCATGTTTGATATAACCTCTATGGGGGAAAAAAAAAGGGAAAAGGCAAATTGTCTTTATGAACAGGTGGGCTTAATCCTTACAGAAAAGAGGATCTTATACCAGATTCATTCCTTCTCCACAAAGAGCATGAATTTTAAAAAGTCAGCTAGAAGTTGATAACAAGCCATCCAATTATTGTCAGGACATACTTGTCTTTCTACCGCTATTTTTACAACCTATTTTTTGCAGAGTTTCAAATTTCTTTCCTTCCTCCCTTCCTCCCTTCCTTTTCCTCTTTCTCTCTTTTTTCTCTAGAATTCTTTGAGAGAAAAGGCAACTTGGAATGACAATAACAGCACGAGGCTGCATTGCTCCACAAGAGCAGCAATTTGAAATATTAGAGCTTCATCCTTTTCCAAGCACTGCTCTTTTGGGAATACTTCCCCTGAACACAACTAAGGTGGTTCCTAAACAATGGGAAAGACAGATTTTAGAGCAGTGATAACCCCTGAAGAGCTGCACTTACCACACCACATTTTGCCAGTTCTTTTCTCCAAGCTCTTGGACAATATCAACATCACATCTGATAAACCACCACAGTCACCTTTCCTCGTTTGGGGCAAAGACCTGCCTGTTTTCAAGGTGGGCAAAGATCATATAGGAACTGTAATTAATTTGTTGTGGTTGTTGTTGTTGTTACTTTCCAGAAAGAACATATTAAAAAAAAAAAACCAACCCAAACCCAAACATTTTCCATTATTCCATATCTTCTTCTTTTGGATGCATTTAGCGGCTGAATTAAAATAAAATATTCATTAAAAACCACTGGAATCAAATGATTGTATATCAAACCTAAAGGTTTGTGTTTGGTTTTTTGGGGTTTTTTTTTCATCCTGACATTTCTGATCAAACAAACCTTAAAATGTTAAAAAAATCCAAAAAAACTCCCAAAAAAGTAAGGTTTTCCTAATTGAGTATTGTTACTTTTAAAATTCACATCTGCATATTGATGACCTAAAAATTATTTGTGAAAGAAAAGGAATAGGAGGTAGTAAACAACAAAGATTGACAGGTTTTGATTATATTTAATTTTGTTTTGACATATCTGGAATGCACAAAAGATTTTAAATGTCTAGAGCATGCAAGAACAAATTCCATTAATAGAACACCAGGAGGAGAGAAAGTAGTAGGCAAGACTTTAATCTAAATGAAGATTTTATTTTATTTTATTTTATTTTATTTTATTTTATTTTATTTTATTTTATTTTATTTTATTTTATTTTATTTTATTTTATTTTATTTTATTTTATTTTTATTTTATATTTTATTTTATTTTATTTTTATTTTATTTTATTTTATTCTATTTTATTTTATTTTATTTTATTTTTAGCACAGCCCATGAAGGATTATATTCTAGTCTGCACTACTTTTCACCTAAGAGAATTCCCTTGTCTGAAGTCAATACTTTGCCAGGCTAACATGAACAAACAGATCTTTTTGAATGTTGTGGGAGTGTGGGCAAGCAATTCCTAAAGAATTATTGCCAAGTCCCTTTGCTGCCAAATGTTAACCACATCTAAGAGATGTGATTAAGAAAAAGCAATTAAAAAATTGAGCAATGTGGATTAATGTTAATAGGAAATATACTAATACTGCTGTGAAAAACTGGTGAAGCTTTTCTTGTATTATGTCTGGGAGGGGAAGAAAGGCCCCAGGAAAATGTTCTATCTTTTCCTTAACAACTGTGGGGAGTGTGCTGCTAGGATTTGAAAGATCACTAATATAATTGTGTATCCAGTGCAAGATTCTTGTGCAATGGCTGTTTATGGATGCTAAATGCAAAAAGCAAGCAGGGAACAGAGCCTGTGTGAAACTAAGTCACACAGGCTTCTCAGTCTGGCCTGAGAAAGCATGAGAAAGAATCTAAACAGTCCTTGGTAAAGGACAACAATCTGCAGGTGTTGTTTGGGAAACAGTCAAGGGGTGGTGTTCCACTTAACCAATATTGGTGGATGCGTTACTTTAATGACCAATGAGAGTTTTAGATCTTGGACCTTCTCAAATGTGTATAAAAGAAGATTAAGAATAATGAACTTTTCTCTCTTGGACAATGAAGGTAAGGGAGTTGGTGTTGTGCTTATCACCGTTCCTAATATAGTGTGACAGCTGTTAAGGAGAGAGAGGTGAAACTGTAGGTGTAATCTCACTCATTTATCAGGGACAGTATTTCCTCAAAAAATCTGGGGAGGGAGCAGAAACCACCACGACCAACCTGGTCTTCCCCCAGCAGGATCAAGGAGCTGTCACCAGAGCCTGGACCCTCAGCTCTGGAGCACTGTGCTCCCTCCACTGGCAGCACCCTCCACAGAACCTGGAGTAGGGAAGGAGATTTGGAGATGGTACCGAAGGTATGTAATCTCCAGCCTCACAAACCTCAGGAGTTTCCATTTTTCCACTGTCCCCTTTCTTTGCTCCTCTGTAGCACCCCTTGAGGTTCTTGGCCCTGCTGTGGTTCTGCAAAGATGCCACTGATCTCCTCGTTCATCCCCCCACAGTCACCACTTCCCACAGAAGCCCCTGTAGAAGAAGCCTGGAAACTCTGCACCAAACCCTTCTGTTCTGTGTGCTGCTCCCAGACTTAATAATCAGACTTAATGATCTTCCTAAAATATTGCATGTGAGATGCCTGTGACATTAATCAATGTTTAACAATGGCAGGAGTGCTGCTTGCTGAATATAAATACTTTCACAGAAAGATTTAGCATTTGTTTAGTGAGCTTAATTAAAAAGCTCTACTTGATGTGAGCAGTGCCCTTTGGAGGATCTAAACTCCTTGATGAAGAAATAAACTGTTTTCCCTCACTTAGAGCTTTCTTTTCTTCCTAAATGATGAGTGGTTTCAAAGATCAGAAGATAAATTCTCATCTGCTATCTTAATTTAAAAGCTATTTTAACATTCTGATAAGCCCAGGAGTTTTGGAAGGCTTCATTTTGTTTGCCTCAGTTGTCGATGAACAAACCTAAGGTAATTAACTGAAGTTAGATATCTCAGAAACATCCATAGTCTTTGCATTTAGCACAGGAATGGGAAAATTTAGGTAGGAAACCCCACACTAATGATTAAACTGCTTTATCACCTGTTTAATGCAATTGCCTAATTCCAGTGAAGGTCAAGGTTGAGACACTGCGCTGCATTTATTCTTGTAGAAATATACAGATGGAAAGCATAATCAATAATCAAATGATGTGGAATTAAACTCTTCAGATAAAGGGGAATTTGATAATGTTTTTCCACCACTGCAGCTAAGGCAGATCCTGAACTGCTCTGAACAAAACTCAATTGATTACACTGAGCCAGAAGTTTCTGAGTCTTTCTGACCTTGAAGTTTATAGCATTATATAATGTATATAATATAGACATAAATACAAAACTTAAACAGTTCTATACCAAGCCTGACATAGGCATAAAAAGAAAAAAAAAAATAAGAAAGAAAAATTCATTTTATGTCATGTGGTTGAATTTTCCCAAGTTTCAGTTGTCTGCCTATTTTATTCTGTGAATAAAATTACAGGTTATTAATGACCAGGATTAAAGGGAGCAATGTACTTAGCATTAAACCCCTCCCCCACCCCCACCCAAAAAAACCCCTCCAAACAAACAAAAAAGTTGCTGATAACGAAAAAAGTTCCTAAAGTTATGTGATCAACAAGAAACTATAACTCAGAAAGATTTTTATCAGCCAAAAGTTTCCCCTTGACTTCACACAAACCAACATGGCTGTAAGTCCTACATCTCATTAAAAATATTTCAAAATCCCCTTTGGAGACACTGATGCTTCTCTAAGGTGAAAAAAAGTAAAAAAATCTGACACCACAAATTATACAGACTGAAAACTGCAAAATAAGTTAGGCCTTTAAAATATTCTAAATATTGACCTGGATATTACTAGAATAGCATATTCAAACAATAATATATTACTGCAGTAAAATCAATCCATTAAAATCTATATAAATACCTTATATTTCAAAATTATTGAGAGAACATTTGATTTATCAAAGCTTGCCTTTTCCCCACTGTTGGGTAATAAGGATATATTTTTAAATTATGGAGTCTTTCTATGAGGAAAAAAAACCCAAAAAACAAACCTTTGAATTCTCAGATTTTCCTGGAATGGAAAATTATTTTAATCTGAGTTTAACTGTTTTTCTTTTTCTAGCTGTTCCTGCCAGCAGCATTTGGGGCTTACTTCTTTTCATTAGAAAAAAGGATTTCTGACAGTCAGGTTTTTGGCATGAGTCCATTCAATTAAAAATAATGAACAAAATTTCTGCACCAGAAGAATAAAATAATACTGGATAGTTCTTCTGTGGAAGTGCAAAGACCTTGTCAAAGTCCTTGTTATTCCATCATTTACCTCTATGGAGCTGACTACCAACCCAAAAGGATTTTATGACCCAGTGGTCCCATTCAGGTTTGCTTAATGTGAACTTGTGAAAGCCAAACTCAGGGAGTAAAACCTTGAGCCAAAGCTAGCTGAAGACACAGCAATTTCCACCTCCATTGTGGACCTGGGAAATGCTTCCTATAATTTTCTAGTACTGGATGAGATTCTTAATATCTCATGTTTAAACCAGTTTTATCAAAGAAAGCACTAGAAAACTGTTAGCAAGTCTGAGGCTTCTTTCTCTGTACAGACGTGTCCTGGCAGCTACAAAATCCCTGAGATTCCCTTTTCCAAAGAATCTCCATGGGATGTTCACATTGAACTAAAACAGAGACATCATTACTATAATTTTTGCATCTGTAAAAATGGGGCCTGGTTAAATTTCTTCAGGAACCCCATCCAAGTTTATACTGGAATCTGAAGCAAGAACTATTATTTTTCATCAATATTTTTGTCCCATGAGCACAGTCCTTCCCTAAGAATTATTTCAGATGACAGAGATTATTGTGGAAACATTCAAATTACTGAAAATCAGGAATGATTTTCAGTTTTACTGCCTACAGCACAAGTATCTTTCATTTTTTCCTTTCTTTCCCTGCTCTTGCTAACCTACCTCTCACAGCACACTCAGACTGATTTCTGCATTTTATCGTCAGGGTTCACTCTTGCTGATGAATGTTTTTTTCCTTGTAAGATTCCTGAAGAAAAGGCTGGATAAAAAGGGTTGGATATATTCTCTTGGTGCTATCTTTAGTCCCAGCGTTGCACTGAAGAATAAGAAATTTCAAACATAGACAATTAGCCCTTCCTGTCACCTTAAAGACAACCATAAAGAAACTGGTCAAGCTTGGATTTATATTGGATTAACAATGATGAATGAAACTGCAGACAGCTCTAACCCTCCACACTCCCAGCTGCAGTCAGAAAAGCCTTTCCTGACTAAAGCAGAACATTTCAGTCCATTGTTGTTGGAAAAAAAAAAAAATGTAAAATGAACCATCTTGCAGATTTTGGCTGTAGATTTTGGGATGGGAAGGAGCCTATGGAGGAGTCCTGGGAGTCAACACCTCAGGCCCTCAGGTCAAATACAGCATGTGGAACTCGCAGTTTGTGTTCATGTGGTTGGTCTCACAGCTAACAAATACCAATTTATCCTTATCTTATTCCAGTGGATCTCAAATGCCAT